TTGGAGACGTCTACTTCCACCACAAACTGTCGGTTGGGATCAGGTACAGTCAGTATAGGAGCTGTGGTGAACCTCCTCTTCAGTTCCAGGAAAGATTTCTCTGCCTGTGGATTCCACACAAACTGAACACACATTTTACACAACACAAATGGAGTCCACTATGGGCCAAAACCAACACTTAGGTTTCTGTAGGGTCCATGGCAGACGGATGCAGTGGGAAAACATACATCAAGTGCCTCAAGTGTCAGATGTATCTCTGCATTTCAAAAAAGGATGGAGTACTACAAATGAGGGCTCAATATTTGTTGCATTGAGTTGTGCTCTAATGTTGTCTAAATGTACTTGTATGTTAATTTTGTTTGTATACTATGCTTTGCATAACTAACACCCAATGTCCTCTACAAAGTTTGTTGATAACTGAGACTCTCGGCATCCTTAGTGGCGAAGCAAATATCAAAGATCGTCTCTGCTGAGTGCTGACAGGATGAGAGGATATTATATGAATGAATCGTATTTTTACCGATGCAAAGACGCTACAATTGATGCATCGCAAGTTCAACCCAAACTGCAGCTGATGTGCACTCTTCAGTGGCAGCTCCAGGGTATGGCTGGGGTAGGCTACAGCCATACCAATAAATGGCTTGGCTCCACCATGAAAAATGATGTTAAAGTAGGAAAAATAAAGTCCACCAACTCGCGCGGAGTAAATTGCACAGACAGCAGCAAGATTGATTTCAGTAGCCACTTGTCTGGAAATGCCGAAGACTAGAAACGGTTTTGAAAACTTTTGTCATGTAGTGATCGTCTTCCCAATAAAACATCTTTGCTAATGTCTTTTGGCCAAGCAGAATCACGATAACGGCGTGGTGTTGTTGCAGGAAGTCCCAACGGAGAATAATTTTGAGGTAGAACTTCTCTATATACATCCATGGATACAACATTACGTGTTGATATAAATCAACACGTAAAGAAATAAGACCCACGGTTTGATGATTGATAGGTGTGTGGGCTGTCTTTCATTTTGACACACAGAACAATGGGGGCTATCCACCCTTATCCACAATGTAAAGTAATTCACACAGCCTCTTCCCTCTTCTCTCTGTGAGGAGCAGCAGGTTCAGCTTTCAGAACAAAGTAACAAAAAACTAAAATTGCATTAATTCTTTTAAATATGTCGTGTAGTAATAGATTTATTTATTTCTCTTCTCAAGAGAGTACCAGAATGTGTATTTTATGTTAGTATTTCAAAAAATCTCCTGGGGGAGAATCCCCTCAGACCCCCCTGCACGGGTTGGGTTTTCAGCATGTCAACTCTTTCACCTGTGGGGAAGTTGCAGGATTGGCTCCAGGTCACCCTTTTTATTTACTACAAGACAAATGTGCCTTTTTATTTCATACAGTTCAATTTGGATTGAGACAGGGAAATAATCTAAACCTCACGCGTGGCGTTTCACTGTCAAGGGGGGTGATATAGCGTGTATGTAATTACATTGCAAATACTGACTTGAGCCCCACCACTGTATGGGTTAGCCCTATAGATTACCCAACAAAAATACTCTGGAGCCGTCACTGCCTCTTTCAACCGGTGCACTCGTATTTTTAATGTCTATGCCGGTGCACCGATGCGAATCAGTGAATCTTAACATCCCTACTGTACACAGGTGTTTGATAACGTCTTCACCATGGACACCATTGATCTCTGGGCTCACACACAGGTGTTATGATTAGGTGCTCAGCACAGAAACAAACACTGACAAACAGACTGTCTCATGCCCCGGCCACACGAGGACGAAAACGGTCGTTTGCGTTACTGTTTAGTGTCATATAGACCGTTCGGCCACACGAGGACGACGAAATACGGCACTCAACGACTGCGGAAATGATAACTGGTCCCAAGGTGGATAGAACGGCATACGCAACGCTCTGGGGGGTCCAACGGCTCCGTGTGTACGCCCTATACGATCATTTTCTGATAATGATGAGGCAATAGCCCCGCCTCTCCCCACCTCTGCTGCTCACCCCTGTGTCAAAGTAAACTGCACACTGAATTCAGATTATTTATCTTTCTCTCGATATGGACATAAACGCGAGTGAAGTCTAATCTGACAGGACGGAGACACCTCTCAAACTACCTAAACTAGTTATAAATATGTTTATTTTTACTGTCGGCCGGGTCACTCATTACTGGATCAGCTGCTGCATGAGACAGATACTGGCGCTGTCCAAAGAGAGGGAGGAAAAAGAGAGGCTCCGTGTATTTTATTATTATATTATATAGAGTCGTTATTCATTTGTTTTAAAGCTCAATAAATAACAAAGAAGACCTTTGACCGGCACTTTTATAATTTTGTCCGGAAGATTTCATCTTTAATACACGTTGACTGGCGAAAAACTCTGCCCGGTTCCCTCGGCCCCCACCGCGGAGAATAAACAGAAGGGCAACCATGACAACCATGCTTCTTCGCTGCTTTTGTGGAGGAAGTTACAGCGCCACGTACAGGCTCCTGCATATGTACTGCAGCTTCTCCAGCGGTTGGAGCTAAACGGAGCTGTCTCGTGTGGACAGACACTATCCGGATAACTATTGCGTGTGGACGGAAGCTTTTTTGCATTTGCGTTAATCCTATGCGTTTAGCCGTTTTCGTCCTCGTGTGGCCGGGGCATCAGCCTAATCTTTTCTGTCTGATGGAGACTTCATACTGACTTCAACATGTTCCACATATTTTATACATTATTGGTGACGTATGGTTTTAGTTCAAAAGTTTGCAGTTAAAATATTCTGCTGCTTTTTAAAGCGTTTTTACTTTATTTTCTCTTCTTAATAAACATGAATTCACTACTACTTACATTACATTTAATATCTAACTCCTTCAGCCTACTTTCAACTGCAGAAACCATTCAACTATTACATTATTCAGCTATTTCAGGACATTGATGCTATACATGTTGTTGTTTATACCTTTTTTAAACCTTTTCTTTGAAATATTAAGCTTCTTTCCTACTCTTCCAGTTTAACATTTCACTTTCACGTTTTCAACAAAGTAATTGCAATGCATTTGAGCTGTAACAATTTTGATTAAAATCATTTCACTTTTCTGCATTTCTCCACTAAGTTCAGCAACACACTGACTTGGTTTTTGTAGCTAAAAGCAGCTACAGAGACCATTCAGCTAATAACATATTCAGCTTTTTCTGCATTTTCAGCTAAATTCAGCAACAAATGTTCACAGTTTACAGCATTCGCACACATTTTCAGCAGGAAATGCATTTTCTAATTAGTCTTGTCTTCCCCTTTGCTCCATGTTCGGTCCTTGTCGTCCTAGCACCTCCATGTTACTCCCCGTCTGGTTTTTGTCTGGATGCTACCTTGTACTACCAGTTTATGGATTTGAGGTTTTTTCTTGTTTCCAGTTCCAGTGTATTGAAAGGTACAATAAATCAAAGAAAACCAAAAACGGTTTTATTGCCTGCTTGGAGCCACTGGTTGTTAGAATTAGAAACACTCATCCCCTGCACAGCAGTCCTTTTAGCAGCTAGATAACCCTGATAGTCTGGGCATGGTGTCGACATGGCCGTACCTACCAACGAGGTCACCAGGGTTTGGATCTAGTATGTTTTTTCGAGATGTACTGTATAGGGCTAGACAATATATAGGATATACAGTATTGCATATGTTTATAGAGATATAGATATATATTTATGTATAGATATAGTGTCCTTCTGTCCTAGTACCCTGCACTGGGGATGCACAGAGATATGGGTTGGTTCGAATGGTCAGTTTTGCTTTCCTCAGGGATTGAAATGACCTGGAAGTACCTGAGTGTCAGCTGTGATAAGAAGGGAGATAATCCTGTCCCACAATACCTTGGGGTCTTAGCATTTAACTCACGCAAAAATGGTGACTGACAAACACAGATCATGTAAGTCACTTCTGATACAACAAAAAGGAGATGTGTTTCTAGGGAAATGTGTCTTATTTTCCTCTGAAGGGGCAGCAAGAAGAACTTCACTTTCTGGTGTCAGCTGTCTACCACTTTTAAGACTTATGTCTTAATAATAATGTTTGAATATTGTCAGAATTATATTCTAATTAGTCTAGAATATTGTCAAACTTATGTAATATTGGTTCGAATTGTATTATAAATAAGTTAGCATATTGTCAGACTTATAATGAAGTTAGAACAATACCAGAATTTTGTTATTTGTTTGCGTATTGTCAGACTTATATTATAATTTAGTTATAATATTGTCAGACATTTAGCAGCTATCCCCATGTTGAAGGCCGTGTGTCCAGACCTTGTCTCTGAATTATTGAAATGCTCTGAATGTCATTTATTGCATATTTAAGGAAGGGGTTTATTCTAATAATATATGGGCCAATGAAATGACAGCTATCATGAACACATGTGCAAACATTTCATATCAGACGCTCCTTAAAAAAAAACCTTAGCAAATAGGAGCCACCTCTTTATCTTACCCTCAAAGTGTGTGTGTGCGTGTGCATGCTGCCTAACATTACCTGGGCTGAGTATACAACCACCACTTGTACTACTAATAATAACAATTACATTATAAATGAATATGTATGACTTATTTTTATTGTTTAGAATAGATACAGCCTTTTACTGTCTTTGGATGAAAAACAAATGATAATACAAATAACAGCAATATCTTGACAGTGACATGACATTGCTCCAGTGGCGAACCGTGGCTATCACAACTGGACCTTCTGTAGACGGTCATTTTCTACTGAAATGCGTAGTGCATGGTCCGAGAAGGACAAACAATCAACGTAACACTGTAATATTACAGATCAACAACACGGATACGATTCTCATTTATTCATTTTATATACATTTTATTTATATAATTAAATCGATTTTTTTTTGTTTTATCTGAGTGTTCCAGGGTATTCTCTGAATTCCTTGAAGGCCCTGATGGTTCGCCACTGCATTACTCTAAAGAACCAACATCCGCTCCGCTGTCTCCTGCAGTGATGACTAACAGTTTGGCTTCACCTGGCAAACAAAGGGGAAGCTCATGCTGCAGCCGTGGTTGGACCAGCCTCTGGACTCTGAAAAAAAGTAATCAGCATCATCAGCAACAAAGTCAAGTAGAAACAGGCCCGATGGTCCTGTGTCTTGATTTATTTTTCTATCATGAGCAGTCAATTACAGTATGTGTTTTCTATCGTCACCTTGAGAGTTGAGTTGCAGGCACTGGTAATGGTCAGTGGAGCTCACTGTTTCCCACTGATGGTAGTTAAACTCTGAGCCATCCTCCCACCTCCAGTCACCCTGGAGCAAACAGATACAGTCCCTTCAGTGTGTGTTCAGTTTCTACATGTACACGCTGACTTTAACGCACCAAAAAATAACTGCATCGATTTTCACTAGGATAGTTTAACTTTACTACAAACAATGTAATGCCAACAGAATTATTTAAAATATGATCAATCTAATTATAGTAAATTCATCAAAAACTTCATACTAAACCCAATTCCTCAATGGTGTATCAAATAACTTTGAATTAAATAAAAGTTGAATAAAACATTCTATTTTTTTTGTATCGACTTGTACTTCTATTTTTAAAAAGTAATACAGCATGAAAGAAAAAAAGCCTTTCAGTCAGATGCAGTTTTTGGGGTGTAACATTCTCTAAAATTAAGACCTTTTGTAGTGTTTGAACAAACCTCGAAGAAGTAACCTCCAATCCAGGCAAAAGTGTGCCCCCCCGTGTTGACCACACGCTGCAGGAAATTGTACTCCCAGATGTTGTGTGCGGATGCCAGACTCCCACCGTAACCAGCACAGAAGCTCTGCGGGAGGAGACCATTTTTTATTCATTTATTTTCCAATCATATTTTACTGTTACATTTTCTATTTAAGAGCTTCACACTTATAATTTCATTTTTATTACCTCTGCATTTCTCCAGATGTCAACATTGTTGGATAAGTAATAGCAGTTACCACGGAAACTAAGCCAGCCATCCAGACAGAAAGAGAAACGAGCTGAAACAATGAAAAAAAAAAAGATGAGTTATTACCAGGGGTGGACTGGCCATTGGGAATACCGGGAGTTTTCCCGGTGGGCCGGTGCTGTGCGTGGGCCGGAGTGCCTAAATCCTACCGGCCCACATTTGTAAGTGTTCCGGCCACTCCCTGGAGGGGTGTGGTCCACACCCCACTGGGCTGAGCTGGGCCGTTTTGATAGGCTACCTATGTTCTATCTATCAGATAGTTTCACTTTCACACATCAGGCCCGTAGCAGCTGTCACTAGCAGGGAAACGAGGTTCAGGGGGAGTGGCTGTACCCGTAGGATAGAAAAGGGGGAAGTGACGTCTGACTCAGACGTCGCACGGCTGTGGAGAAGAACGTGTTGCTCACATTCTGTTACTGAGTTTAGGCTAAGTTAGCTAGCAGGTTTATTGTTTTCACTTTTGCCTCCACTTGCTGTTCAAATAAATGTTGAAAGAAAAAGTAAATCTGTTTACAGTTCTGTTTCATATGGGTGTGGAGAGATGTATCCAGATTTAGTCCCTAATTTTGCTCTCAAAGTGCACCAGATTGATGCATTTAACTTCAACATTTAAAAAAAAAAATCTTCCCGGGGTAGCATGCCCCCGGACCCCCCTAGAGGAGGTGAGGTCCACCACCTGACCACACCTCCTGTTAAATTGTCTCACCCACATTGAGGATGCTTCCTACGCCCATGTTTTATTCCATGCATCAAGTCAGGCAAATTGGGTCAAAATGTTATTGCATCAATGATCTGTTAACATTAAAATCAATGAATAAATGCTGTAACTATTTTGGATCAGTGGATTACCTGATCCACTCAATGGATCAGGTAATGTGATTACTATATGAATAATGGTCCAAAATAACATAAAATGCATAGGGTTTTTTGTTAAGTAGCATACTTTCGTCGCTGGCCGGCCGATACATGCCACGCATTAAGTGGGCCTGTCTGTCAATGAATGCCACTTTTCCCCCCCAGTCCGCCCCTGGTTATTACTAGGGATGTAACGATATATTGAATATCGCGATATCGCGATATTTTTTTAACCTTCATTTAACCAGATGGTCCCATTGAGATCATTGATCTCTTTTTCAAGGGAGACCTGTCCAACATGGCAGCAAGTAGGTTACAACATGAACATAAAACAACAGATATGTCACAAGTTAGACACTTCTATTATTGTTTGTTTGGTGGCTCATCTAAACTCTCCTGTCATTTCAGATCCCGCCTTCCTCCAGGCCCTTGTAATCAGCTCATTTCCCTCACCTGGTCTCCCCAGCCCTTCCCCTCACCTGTTACTCATTCCCTCATCACTCCACAATATTTATACCACCTCACTATCACTTGTCCTTTGCCAGATTGTCTTGTCGTTTGCCCGGTTTTTTATCCCTGCCTGCCTGTTTACGGATCTCGAGTTCCTGCCTGCTCCCTGTCTGGTTTTGGTTGCCTGTCTGACGGATTACTGGTTTTGACCCTGCCTGTCCCTGACCTGAATAAACTGAACATTGCTATACACTGGTTGTATCTGAGTCGTGCTATTGGGTTCTGATCTGTACCTGTGATCGTGACAAGATAACACAAAAGGACATTGTATTTATAGGGCTACATGTACATACCTAGAGACATTGACAAGTACCAACAGTATATGTATATCTCGCCCTGTCAATAAGCCTCACCTTCTTGGCAAAAACTGTATTGTTTTTGAAGTGGTGGAGAGACAATGCACAGTTTGACCCACTGCTGTCACCCATGGCCAAAGCATATCTCTCTCTCCCAGCAACATCAGTACCAAGCAAGAGAGTTTTTTCCACAGCAGGGGATATTGTAAATGCCCAAACATCCCAGCTTCTACCTGGAAATGTGGACATGCTCATATTCCTAAAAGATAACCTTGATGATGCTGAGTGAGTGAGTTAGAGTTGAGTTACTTGAAAAACTAAAGTGAAACTTGATTTATTCTATTGCAGGGTCTGATTATTATATTGTTGACACTTTAAAATACTACAATCCTACTAAAATGCTGTACAAATCAGATTTATTATTTAATAAAGAAAATAAAAATTCACATTTTTTTTCTTTATTTTTCAATATCGCGATAAATATCGTACCGTGGACTTTTTATTGCGATATTATCGTACCGTGAGTTTTTGGTATCGTTACCTCCCTAGTTATTACCAAAAGAAAAACATTTATATTTTTTAAACACATTTTACCGTGTGATTCTTTGATTAGGAATCTCAGGGAAAAGAAGATCGCTCCAGCAGCAGACATGTGTGCCTGTAAGGTTGGTCGGCATATTATCTTACCTTGAGGTAGAACAGCCGTGTCAGCATTCATCCCTGTCAAACCCAGCAACATAAAGTCTGTCAGGTTAACTGATTTAGGTGCTCTTTGTGTCACATTATAATCATATTCTAAACAAAGCTAGATAGAAAGTTAAACTCACTTAAATGTGTGTATCATTTTTATATCAGTTTATTGGACAGTTTGTAAGGATTCCTGAACATGGCAGCATTAGCTGAAACCTCAATGATGTTACAGTTGATAAAGGGCAGCAGAGTGCTTATCAGACATATTAGTTATTAAAAATGCTGACTGAATTAGGTAATTATGTACAGTATAATTGTGATGTTCAGTTCACAGACTTGAACACATTTAGAAACATTTGATGTGATGATATACGATGTTTCATGTTACAAAAAGATGATCTGTATTCTGACTGATGAAGATGTTAAAGGTCCCCTAATATACAAGTCTTCCCAACATATGTTACAGGTCTCAGATATAGAACATGTCTCTGAAGTTTTTGGCTGAAACACCAAACAGATCATTGAACCCCTCTGTTTCAGCCCTGTTTCAAACGTGCTGATTCTGTGTCTGTAGCTTTAAATGCTAATGAGCTGCTGCTGGCCACGCTCCTCTGAGAGATGATTGGTTTAAAAAAACAAACACACAATGGTGCTCTAGGAGGAGATTCAGGTGAGAGGGTGTTACATTGGTTGGTTATTAGCTAATGGTTGTACAACCCAAAAAAACATTATGACATCACAAAGTGGCCAACATCTGATCAGCTCATTTTCAGACAGGTTTTTATAGAAATGGATCAGGACAAAAAGAGAGGGGATCTTTGTTCCTGAAACTTCCAGAGTCTCTTAACACAGAGGGGACACATATTTAAGTATAAAAGACATGAGCAAGTGGATTTTGCATAATAGTTGACCTTTAAGTAAAGAAAAAGTGTAAAAAACCTGATTTTAGTGAATAATTGTTTTCCTCCTTTACTGCAGCAGCATCAGCGGTAACAACTGAGGAAAATAAAAGAAGAGGTCATGTAGATCAGTGTTTTAAAGTTACAGATGTATCTTCTATACAAGTACTCCTGAGTACAGCAACAACAACAACAACAACAACAACAACAACAACAACAACAACAACAACCGTGTCTCAATTAATTTTCCTGTTCTAATTTATCCAAAATTCAACAATCGTATAATTTGTACAAGTATGTTAGTGCATCAGTCTCACCTGTCGCAGCCCTGATTGACAGAGTGACACAGAGGATAACAGAGAGGATCAGAAGAATTTTCATGCTGAAAACGTATGGTTTCGTCTGGAGGAAGGTGGATGCTAACAGGTCTGAAAGGGTGAAGAATGGAAAAAGTAAGAAAAAGAAATAAACGCAAAACAATCAACACTGAACAAAATGACTTACAGAGAGATGCAGCAGTCAGGTAAATGTGAAGGTTCCTCAGGTACCAGACAGGAGGCTCTGGTATCTTTATATATACACTGTCTGTCATTTAGTCATGTCCTTCTTGTCACAGTTAACAATAAAACGTGGACTTTACCTCTTGCGTTAGTTCTGTTGCAGGAAGACAAAACATGTTATCTCTCACTTCCCAGCTAAGAGAGTGAATAATAAAATCGATCGGGTCAACAAAGTGGTGACATTTCCCAGCTTACTTTTCATGGAAAGCACCCTCTGTTTATCCCCTTAACTAGAATAAAGCAATCTTACAGTTTTTGGAATTACAATGGATCTGCAGAAGAATTGACAAAAGGATACTTCCACAGATGTGTCCATTCAGTATTGTGCTTAGGTTTCTACTTTAGAAGGCCAAAAAGAGACTTACGACAATATTTATCCCTGTGCTAGACAGTGATGTTGTTTATATGAATGCCTTTTCTGCAGGCCTATGCTCTTTGGATAGGTCTACGACGGGGCACTGAGGTTCATTTTCAATCTTACAAGGCAATTATTGGTGCACTTCCGCCTTTTCTGTAGATATAAATCTGTCGGAAATAAGTACGAGAACTCATTGGCCTGCTCCGAGGACTTGTTTTGACTAACTGTCCCTAAAGTCCACACTGAGCTGGGGAAAAGGGCTTAAGTGAAGTGCTTCTTATTGAGTGAGAATCAGACATCTCTATGCTGTTTATGAAGATGATTCTGATTGTGACCATAAACAGTATGTTCTCTGTTCTTATTTTGTAATGTGTGTTCTGTAACGGTGCTGCTGCCTATCTTGGACAGGACTCTTGCAAAAACGTGCTTTAATTTCAATGAGACTTGAGACAATGAGACTGTCGGGGGTCCAGCCGGCTCCTGTTCCGTCGGAGGTCCAGCCGGTTTCTGTTCCGTCGGGGGTCCAGCCGGTTCCTGTTCCGTCGGTGGTCCCGCCGGCTATGGATCCTGCAGTCCTTCGGAGCTGTCCCGACACCGTCGTCCTCTGGAGCTGTCCCGCCGTAGTCGCGGCCTTCCTGCCTGTCCTAGTGCCCGGCCCCCTGAGTTTGCCCACCGCGGCCTTCACCCCTGTCTCCGTCCGCCCGAGACCCCCTCCTCTGCCTCTGCCTTGCCCCCCGCCCAAGATCCCCTCCTCGACCTCTGCCATGGTCCTCCACCCACACTTTTGGCCCTAGTCATGCGTCCCTCCTCCAGACCCCCTCCACCCACCACACTGAATTTATGTGACTTTGTTATGGGACGTCTGGAATCCGTCCCTTGAGGTGGGGATTCTGTCGACTTATGTTGCCATTTTCCGGTTTTATGTTGAAATTCTGTTCTCCCTTTGTCAGGTCTTCCTTCCTGTGTTTGCCCTCCTGTGTCTGATTTTCTCAATGTGTTCACCTGTTGCCCTTGTGTTTCTGCCTCCCCTCCCCAGCTGTGTCTTGTCCTGTGATTACCCTTCTGTGTATTTAGTCTTGTCTTCCCCTTTGCTATATGTTCGGCAGCAGACCTTTATATACCTTGAATATCGCCTGTTTGAAGAGGGTAACATTAAGGAATGAACATATCTTGTTTGAACAAGACTGACTGAATAGTTACTGAGGTTACTTAGGTGAGGCTGACTCAGTCAAGGAAACAGTTAATAACTGTCCATGAACATCAGCAAAGAATGAATTGATCACTCCTTCTGGAAAGTCATATACAGTTTATATGCCATCTTCAGGGTGTAGTTTGAATGAGTAATGAGGCTGACTTACACAAGGAAACAGTCAGGATATAACTTTACAGACAATAATTGAGACTTCCTTCTGGAAAATAAGAAACAGTTCCCACACCACCTCCCAATTAATGTTCACTGTAGGTGTAATGAGGATGACTCAGTTAAAGAAATAGTAATAAGAAAGTTTCCCTGAACTTCATCAGAAGAATAAAGGAGTGCTTTCTGGGAAATGACGCTCAACCCAAAATACAAATGTTTTATCTGTGAACAATTAAAAATACCTGCAATGGAAATAGTTTTACCTGCTTAGAGGAACTGGAAATGAGTCAAAACATTGATATATAATCACTCTTTTACAAAGTATCAATAAACTTCACAGCATGCTTGTCGTCCTTTACATCCCAGACGATTATGTGTCCCTGATTTTCTGAACCTTTCCATCTGAATCGGGGACTGTATTTATATGTAATAAATCATGTATAAATAACACAACACAATACAGTCATCAATACATAATGATGTATTCAAACATAAAACAACAAGGCATGAACATAAAATAAAACAGCACAATGAGAGAGAGGGATCTAAAGATGGTGGTTATACTGAAAGTCAAAACAAGTCCCTGTTAAGGCCCTGACACACCAAACTGACACCAAAGAACACGTCCCGACGGACCTGACTGTTGTGTCGCCTCACGTCTCCTGCGTCTTGGCCATGTGTCGCACTGGAACATACCGCAAAGACTTCAGCCGACGGCCAAGTAGCACGTACGCACTGGTCCACTCCGGTCCACATTAATACAAATGATCCCAATACGTATGATTGTATGAAAATATCTTAAAATCATAAATGTATTTATTATAAACGTTGGTCCTTACCATCTATCACTGTGTATATCACCATTCAAACATCTTTTAAAAGTTGAACAAACCCCACACAGCTCAGTGAAATGTTGACTTTATTTGATCATTTCAGTAAAAAACTAACGTTCATATTTCTCTTTTTGATTATAATACTGATGAACGTTCAGAACAAAGCACTTTGGCAACTTACCACATAAAAATGCTTAATAAGCACCGTAACTTTCATGATATCATTTCTCTGTCATAATCGGTTGTTTCCGTGAACGGCCGACTGTTGAGTGACTAAATGCTGCGGCTGCAAGGCATTGTGGGGCAGCATTTTCTCCTCTCCTTTCGGTTAGGGAGGTCCAGTGGTTCCTAAGCTAAAGGAGGTTATCAAGGAAGTTTGAAACCTCCTTTCCTTTCATTTGGAACGGCACTTAACATGGCTGCCACTGACGTACTTCCGGGTCATTTCACTTGGTTAGGAAGGTTCCTAAGCTAAATGGACTATTGGAACGCAACCGTAGTGTGTATTCGTCATTCAAAAGAGGCAACCGGAAGACAGACAGCGTAATACAAACTTCAGTTCTCTGAAGCAGAAAGAAACTATTTAAAAATGCTTCAATTTTTTTTACACATTAGAAGTGCTGTGTGCAATTGTATTTATTTGTAAAGGAAGCATCCATTCCTGATTATAGCTGGAGGAGGCAGTTTAGATCAGCTGCTCCATGATGATCAGAGACAGTGTCACGGGCCTCTGTGAGAGGGGCAGCTGCACCCCCACAGTCTGCATTGCTGCCTCTGAGGAGGAAGGTGCTGTCTGCACTGCTGTGCTAAACAGCACTTTAGTAAATACAGTCAATCCAAAGAGATTTCTGGGATTTAGTTTGTAACAGAACACAATTCAGTCTTTAGTTAAACCCTCGCTCCAGAATCTGTTGTACATTTCCAAGTCAAAAGTGTTTAATTTAACTGTTTGAAAGAAGGGTAAATCTGTGTATGTGTAGTTCCTGATTCCTAAATCATGTGATGTAGGAATCAGTGATCAATCGTCACATGGTCCGGTGTGACACATTTCACATTTCATGGAGGGAGCCTGTCTCTTCCTCATTTTCTTGCCCTATACACACAGAAAAATATATAAGAATGAAGTCTTTGCAGAGTTTGATCAGCTTTTGTTAATGATAATTATATCACTATATGATTCCCTTACAGTTACTATACAAATGTGCAATCAGATTAATGATACATTTAAAAAAAGATGGGGATTACTAGCTGGATTACAATATTACAAAACATTTTAAAATAAAGATCAAGATATTATAGGTAGATGACTGATCTTTACTTGGTTTTCATTATGAATATAACTTTAATTCTTCTTTATTTTAAATATCATTTTTAAATGCAGCGGGTGGACACATTTTTGTTTACAGGCACGTCCAGCTGGGAAGAGACCGAGGGGTAGACCTAGGACCAGGTGGAGGGATTATATCTCTTCGCTGGCCTGGGAGCGCCTTGGGATCCCCCAGTCAGAGCTGGTTGATGTGGCCAGGGAAAGGAAAGTTTGGGGCTCTCTGCTGGAACTGCTACCCCCGCGACCCGACCACGGATAAGCGGGAGAAGATGGATGGATGGATGGATAGTCATTGTAATGGAAAACGATTTTTAAAGTAACCTTCCCAACCCTAGTAATAACGATAAAGCAATGGACTAAGTGTGTATTTAACTAATATTTAAGTATGAAACTGTATTTTTCCTTTTTTTTTTATTCATTTATTTTATGTAATTGTGTATTACTCTATATGTCTAACCCCGTTGTCAACTCTTTTGTAAACAAAATATATGATATTCATGATACAAATATACACAAGTAAAATGATAAAATAAAAAATAACGATAAAACGTTTGAAGTCATGACCGGAAGTGTTTCGTATCAGTTGTACTTCCGGGTGAGTGTCATGGCGGCGCCCTGAGAGCACGTACTGAAAGAAACGCAAAGCCCTTCATAACAGACACCACAGTCCGCGTGCAGCAGCAGCCTGCAGCCATGCATGTCAATACTCTGTTGAAATGGAACAAGAGGATGGCTATAGTGTACGCTACCGGGGTCTGGACTATGATCGGAAACATTCATTTTCTACAAATACACAGGCCGCTACGAGGACATGCCAGGTGACACACACACACACACACACACACACACACACACACACACACACACACACACACACACACACACACACACACACACACACACACACACCACACACACACACACACACACACACACACACACACACACACTAGTGATGGCAAAATGAAGCTTTGAATGAAGCATCGAACCACTTGGACAATTGTGTCGGAAATAGGTTCATTTCTCGAAGCTTCAGTTACAGCGACCTCTCCTGGCGAAGTGCAAGGCTGCAGTGGGTTTAACGTATCTTTGCCTTGAAACATATTCGATGCACACACACACACAAAGACTGAATATCATGTTCTATTTGCAATTAAAGATTGATTATTGGGTTATTGAGAAGAGACTAGAGAGTGCTAGACATGTTTTTGGGCGGAGAGGGCCTTTTATCAGTTATTAAAGTATTAAAGTTGAAAAGCAATGATTAAAAGTTGAACTATTCCAGGCTTTGAACCAGCTGCGTGGAGGACATCGCTGCATCCTGGCCGCCGGCTCTACCCACTGGGCTATCTATTCCTGCTTAGACCATTGAAGTGTTTTTATATTACTCGTTTTCTTTTTGTTCACAACTTCTCCACATTTCGAAGTGTTTCCCGAGCCAGAACGACCTATCTTTCTTCCTGGCTTGCTCTATAATGATCCAATTCAAATGCAATACCAACAACAACAACTCAACAGCAACAACGCAAACTACGACAACAACCCACACATTGCGCATTGTTTAGAGCGGTCATAAAGTGTTGAAGCGCTCAAGTTTGAAACTGTTTCAACCTGTCAGAATCGAGACGAGGCAGTGCATTGAATCGCCTGATTGGACCGTGAATCAGTCAAGTGATTCATTCAGGAAATGAAGCAGTTGCTGCTTCGGACGTCATATGTCACGTGATTTGAAGCAAGCTTCGAAGCACTGCTTCTATGGAATAGGAAGTCCAGGGTTGAAGCTTCGTTCGAAGCTTCAGTGTCAAACTGCCATCACTAACACACACACACACACACACACCCACACACACACACACACACACACACACGCTCATTTACTTTAGCAGTCAATAACTCTTGAACGAAACAATAACCTATATGTCTCAGTCATTTCATGTAAACTGAGTTTTTGTGGGAGAATTAATACAAAGTCTGCTTATTTTATGATTTTCTGTTATCGTTCTTTACTACACACATGCAGTGGTGTGGTCGGGTATTTAACTTAAGCACAATTGTGGGGTACTTGTACTTTATTTCAGTATTTTTTATGCTACTTTGTACTTCACTACAATTTGGAAAATATTGTACTCTTTACTCAACTACATTTATTTGACAAAATTAGTTACTTTTCAGATTATGAGCTAATTCACAATATGAATAAATAAACTGATATAATTATAGTCTAAGATATCCAGCAGCAGTATATAAAGGCATCACAAGTTGCTCCACTTTTACCAGCTGTGATCAACAGATGAATGCATCACAAATAATAATCCAGTCATTTAATATACATGATTCTGAATTGAGCTATTACGCACAATAAGTACTTTGACTTTTGGTACTTCAAGTATATTTTGATACCAATACTTTTGTATTTGTAAGATTTTAAATGCATCACTTTAACTTAACAACTGAGTATTTTACACTGCAGTAATTCTACTTTTACTTGACTACAAAATCTGAGTACTGCCACCTCTGCACATGTTTGCTTTATTTTCTATTCCAGTGCAAGTTACCCTGTTAAGTGTTCAGCTTACCCATATCACTATCTACAGGTTTAACTGTTGGGCTGTAATCACCAGAGTTGTCTAGAATACATATTGTTTTATCAAGTGAAGTAGTTCAGTAACCTTTTTGAGGTACGAGTACTTGGTTAATTCCACTGTATGGCACTATTAATCCTCCTTGCAGAGAACAAGTATATGGTATTTTATACTGCCCTCCCTCAAGTTATCTGACGGTTGCATATCAAATTAAGACGTGTGCTTCTATAAATTGCTTTTTAACACATTTATTTTTAGAATATAATGAAATAAATATCCTAAGTGTCCACTCTCTGGATATTTGTCTTTGGCTTCAGAGACACCATTACATGAAAACAATAATTAAGTAGCCTAATGAAAAGGTTGGGATGAAAGTACCAAGTACATTTTTTAACTTTTTATTAATTTTTAAATAGACATTGCAACATTAAATAAAATAAGATTACAAATCCTTTTTTAAATCACAAATTGGGAAAGTATTTTGTTACAAGAGCTTTGCACACACATAAAAAACAAACAGTACAAATATACATATTAATAGTAGAATTATATTGATCTATAAAGTATGTATTGAGTAAACAAAAAATATTCAAAATAATGTATAATACTAAATAAACTATACATCATAAAATACATCACAAAAAACTGCCACTTATATCAGATTAAGTATTTCAGTCAAATGACAGTTACCACCATTTTTTGTCAACAAAAAGAAATAATGATCAGAAATGAAAAGTTGACGTATATCTGATGTCAGTTCTAAATGACTCTTTACTTTTCCCTTGAACTTAGTGAAAAAAGAAGAAGAGGTGCCGCTGCCAGAAGATAAAACTCAGCTCCTCTTCTTGACAGAACACTCCAAAGTCGTGATGGTCTACTCGAAAGACTTTGTCCCGTACACCACGAGGATCTACAATTTCATCTCGTCCTTCGACAACCCTGGGAGAGACAAATAGCTGCATCAGTGCAGAAAGACCATGAACACTGAGCCAGTTTGAATAATGCACTATGAATTGATGCTTTTGTGGACATTATCTGTATTCCCTTGAGAATCATTGCAGCGTTGTGCAGGCGGGAGGGAGCTTCGGGTTTGTTCTGATGCTAATGCTTTGTCCCCTCATATGTTATTGTGATTCTGTCAACAACATTCAATACTAGCCAAAACATCGTCAACCAAGTTGCCACGACTACTAATAAACACAATCTCTTCCTGATGTAAGAAGAACTATGAAAGCGGAGTGTTTAACAATTTGGGGATATTTTATATTACCTAAAGATATTGTCATCATTCTGGGTGAGGACTGAGACAACATGAAGTATACTTCCTGTTTGAAATGTTAAACGTTTGACACTGCATCGGAGTAGAATTGATTCATCTTTAAATGTATTATTTACACTTCGCTTTTCCTACTGTGACATGTCAAAATGTCCTCCATTAAAAAGCCCTATGAAGTGAAAAATACAGTAAATTAGATACACTTTTCAATATAATGTTGCTCAACACCACCAGAAAGTGCAGCTGTAATACATCCAACTGAATTCTATTTTAAGAAATCGTATTTATTACATGGCTTTTTTTTACTACATGCTTTGTGGTTACACATTGTAGGACATATCTATTCATACAATACCTGATGCACGTGATGTTATATTGTATTATTGTAGGTGTTAATATTACAAATTCAACATTGTATGGCACTTATTGCATATATGTCCCATAGTGAGGCTATTACACCAATTTAAGACAAATTGAAAATCTCATTCCCTGCGAGTCATTTTCAAATATGTAATGCTATTTGAACCTCTGCAAGACTAGTTTTCACATCCTTTGAATTTATATTACTTGTCAAATGCAGTTGAGTTGATAATACTTCATTTGAAAGTACGGCCTTCGAAACTAATAAATTAAATGTAAAATAATTAGGACATAAACTTTAAGGACTCAAAGATGACATTTCCTGCTTTGAAAGATAAAATAACCAATGTCAGAGTTAACATTATGTACCATTACTTATTACCTTTTTATTAACATGTAGACATCATTTGTATGTTGTACCCCCGGGAGGTGGAACACGTTTAAGCAAGTTTATATACCCCAGTTCTTCACATTTAAGGTTTAACTTAGCATAGCATATGCTCAAAGGTTCAGACAGAGGTGGGAGAAGTACTCAGGTCTTATTTAATTAAAAATAGAAGTACCAGAGTGTAGGAATACTCTGTTACAAGTAAAAGTCATGCATTCAAATTGTTCCTCAAGTAAAAGTAGAAAAGTATTCTCATCAAAATATAGTGAAAGTAGCGACAGTAAAAGTAGTCGTTGCGCAGATTGGCCCATTTCAGAATAATATATATGATATGTTTTATAATGATTGATCATGAAAGTGTTCTCAAAGCTGGTAAAGGTGCAGCTAGTTTGAATGACTTTGTATACTGCAGGGTAGCTGGTGGATTTACTCCAGGTGGAACTAAAGTCTGATTCAACACTTGGTTATATTTAGTTATAGTAAAGTAACTAAAGGTATTACGGTGACTTACACAATCTTTCGAGGGACTACAGATGAAAAATGGCCTTTTGGCTAACTCTGGCACATTTACAGAAATGTTGATTAATGTGCACTGTCCCTGTTAAATAAATGAATAAATAAAATACATTTAGTGGAGTAAAAGTACACGATTTACCTCTGAATTGTAGTGGAGTAGAAGCACTTTCCATTGTATGCTACTTTCAATGTAGCATACAATGGAAATACTCAAATAAAGTACAAAGTATCTCAAAATTGTACTTAAGTGCAGTATTGAGTAAATGTACTTTACTTTCACTTCTGCTTTTAGATAAACGGGATAATGATTTAAATAAAAGTATCTTCCACTGAAATCTTGTAGAGTTTAAGTATAAGCAGTTGCGGCTCTAGAGTATTTGTGTTGGGTAATCTATGGTAGGGCTAACCCATACAGTGGTGGGGCTCAAGTCAGTATTTGCAATGTAATGAATGCCATTTTAGTTTTTGGTTACTTTGTTCTGAAAGCTGAACCTGCTGCTCCTCACAGAGGGAAGAGGCTGTGATTACACGCTCCCCTTGACAGTGAAACGCCACGCGTGAGGTTTAGATTATTTCCCTGTCTCAATCCAAATTGAACTGTATGAAATAAAAAGGCACATTTGTCTCGTAGTAAATAAAAATTGCGACCTGGAGCCAATCCTGCAATTTCCCCACAGGTGAAAGAGTTGACATGCTGAAAACCCAACCCCTGCAGGGGGGTCTGGGGGGATTCTCCCCCAGGAGATTTTTTGAAATACTAACATAAAATACACATTCTGGTACTCTCTTGAGAAGAAAAATAAATACATCTATTACTACTGTACACGACATTTAAAAAAAAAATGAATGCCATTTTAGTTTTGTGTTACTTTGTTCTGAAAGCTGAACCTGCTGCTCCTCACAGAGAGAAGAGGAAGAGGCTGTGAATGACTTTACATTGTGGATAAGGGTAGATAGCCCCCATTGTTCTGTGTGTCAAAATGAAAGACAGCCCACACACCTATCAATCATCAAACTGTGGGGTCTTATTTCATTATAATGTTGTATCCATGGACCATGGATATATAAAGGGAAGTTCTACCGCAAAATTATTCTCCGTCGGGACTTCCTGCAACAACACCACGCCGTTATCGTGATTCTAATTGGCCAGAAGACATTATCAAAGATGTTCTATTGAGAAGAAGATCATTCACTGCGTGACAAAAGTTTTCAAAACCGTTTCTAGTCTTCGGCATTTCCAGACAAGCTGCTACTGAAATCAATCTTACTTGCTGCTGTCTGTGCAATTTACTCCGCGCGAGTTGGCGGACTTTATTTTTCCTACTTTAACATAATTTTTCATGGTGGGGCTAAGGTGGAGCTAAGCCATTTCTTGGTATGGCTGTAGCCTACCCCAGCCATACCCGGGAGCCACCACTGAGTATAAGAAAGCATACAATTAAGTTACCCAAATAAGGTCGAAGTACATCCGAATGATTACCTCCAACTAACACTGAGATGATCATGTTTGGCCATCCATGGTTTGGCCGAGCAGGTGTTCTGTGTCTCTGCCGCTGGAGGGCGACAACATCCGGGCCACGCAGTAGGGTTTGGGAAGTAAGAAGAGTCGCCCCACCAACAACCACAACAATGAAGGCGATCATCCAGAGGGTCACCAAGGCCAGCGTGACAGGTGAGCTGCCGTTTTAAAATGAGTGAATGTGGCATGTTTTGACGCCTTTTATAATACCTCTAAACCGAGCCTGTTAGCGTTCATGTGTTATCGTCGGTGACGGTGTTCATGCATGTTAGCTAACCTAGCTAGGATAGCATTAGCACCTCCAGCTAACATGAAGGAGGCTCCAGGGCCAGCCAGGCGTGTCTCTGAACGGAACCCAAACAGAGAATTGCTGTCGGGGTTCATGCTCGAAAGAAACCATTGACTGTATGTATACATATATACATATATATATATATATACATACATACATACATACATACATACATACATACATACATACATGCATACATGCATACATGCATACATGCATACACAGCGTTGGGAGGGTTACTTTGTAAATGTAATCAGTTACTGATTACTGATTACATGGCTCTGAAAGTAATCCGAATACAGTTACAGTTACGTGTCTTAAAAAAGTAACGTAATCAGATTACTTTTAGATTACTTTTAGATTACTTTTGGATTACTTTCGTTTTCCATCACAGATGGATGTGTTGGTGAACAGGAGACACACAAAGCAAAAGGAATGTGTTTTTACTGTTTTAATGGCTTATCAAGAGCACAACTGAAACACAACATCTGAAACGATGTAACAACATAATTAACTTTTTGGGGATGCAGCTTGGGATGTGAGGAGTGAGGGACACGGCTTAGAACGAGCGTGTCGCCTTCTGTCCTGCCAGTGTTGGCAGGACATGAATTAAAATGTCAAACTCGGACTTCATTTTAAGGACATTACGGCCAGGGGTGTGGAGCTATATTTGTTTAAGCACCGGATTGGCAAAACAGGAGAGTGTGTGCACCAGTCTGCCTTGATCTATGAATTCATGTCCGTGACTCTCACAGTATCTGCTGCCCGCAGCTGTTTTATAGAAGGAACACCTCCTTCACTTCATGAAATCTCTGCAGCGCCAGGAGGCAGCGGGAGGGTTAACTCAGCCTCTGAGAAGACGAGCACGCCGTGCCTTTCACGCACCGCCTTCACTGTGTTTACCTTCAGAAATAATCATTAGTAAGGCTAAAGAAAGAGCGACCGCAGGCTGATGTGTTTTAACCACACACACCCGATTTAAACGCAGACTTGTGTTCCTCCATGTTTCGCTGTTATTGTTTCACTGAGCGGACCCGCGATTTTTTTTCAAACGCTTTTTTGGTCCATCTGCGGCGGTAATAGGTTTTGTGGGCTGTGATGATTCGGCTGTACCTTTAGTAATGAATATTAAATGTTGTGAGGAAATCTTTCCACCAATAATTCCAATAAGTAATCCAAAATGTATTCACTTCAGGTTTAAGAAAGTAACTGTAATCAGATTACTCGTTTTTCAAATGTAACGCGAGCTGAATACAGTTACTTGATTTTTGTATTCTGATTACGTAACGCCGTTACATGTATTCCGTTACAACCCAACCCTGTGCATACATGCATACATACATGCATACATACATGCATACATACATGCATGCATGCATGCATGAACCAGGGAATGTTATCTCACACTGACTGACAGCTGAATGACAGCCCTATCTGCTCCACACACAGTCTGTCACCCGTCAGTCATGGCTGCTTGTCACATCACATCAATCTATACATTAATGCACAATTTACTATTCACAAAGTGTTTCCAAATTGCAAAATGTTTAATCTATATTTGGCTTTAACTCTTCCAATGCTTCTTTAGTAGGGTCAATTCCATGTTAAATCTTAAAGGACATCTATTTCACTTGATTATTAATACAGTATTTGTTTCAACCCTAAATCTCCTATTATAGCACAACAAAATACATTTGTGGCAAATGAGAACTGCATAAAAACAATAGCATATTCATTGGATGTACAATTCAGAATATGACAGTAAAAAAAACATTTTTGTTAATCGCTTTAACATCTAGCAAGATTCCATCGTCAAACCATAAGCTACAAATCAGGGACTTTTATTTGTATAACATATCCTTATTAATTCAGATGAAGTATCTTTGAGGATTTAAATAATGTTTAAATACTTAAAGAAATATCTTAAAGAGCTTGCCTATGGAAGTCAGCCAGCTTTATTAAGTTTTATTTAAATAGCAACCTTCAAAACAAGAAAGCATTAAGAAAAATGGAATTTGAAAACAGACATTAAAAAGCAAAGAGAATCAAATAAACATGAATAACACGGGTGTCAAAGACATGGATAAAAGTTACAGTGCAGTTTAAGATGTGAATAGTTCAATTAAAAGCAGCGACAAAAAGAAAAGTCTTCAGCCTGGATTTAAAAGTAGTCAGAGTTGTAGCGGACCTGCAGGTTTCTGGGAGTTTGTTCCAGATATTTGGAGCATAATAACTGAACGCTGCTTCTCCATGTTTAGTTCTGACTCTGGGGACAGAAAGCTGACCAGTCCCTGAAGACCTGAGAGATCTGGATGGTTCATAATTTAGCAGGAGGTCAGAAATGTATTTTGGGCCTAAACCATTCAGTGCTTTATAAACCAGCAGCAGTATTTAGAAATCTATTCTTTGACACACAGGAAGCCAGTGTAAAGACTTCAGAACAGGAGTGATGTGATCCACTTTCTTAGTGTTAGTGAGGACTCGAGCAGCAGCGTTCTGAATCAGCTGCAGCTTTCTAATAGATGTTTTAGTGAGACCTGTGAAGACACCATTGCAGTAGTCGAGTCTACTGAAGATAAAAGCATGGACAAGTTTTTCCAAATCCTGCTGTGACATTAGTCTTTTAATCCTAGATATATTCTTTAGGTGATAGTAGGCTGATTTAGTAACTGTTTTAATGTGACTGTTGAAACTCAGGTCAGAGTCCATGACTACACCTAGATTTCTGGCTTTATCTGTTGTTTTGAACATTGCACACTGAAGCTCAGCGCTAACTTTTATACGTTCCTCGTTTATGACCATCTTTGTTTAATTGAAGAAAGTTCTGACACATCCAGTCATTGATTTGTTCAATGCCTTTACTCAGTGTTTGAATTGGATCATAGTCTCCTGGGCCCAAGAGTTCAAAACTTGTAATCCCTATCTGATCAGATCAGATTTGGACTTTGGGGAGTTCAAAACCAACAAACAGGATTAGGATCACTTTGATATCAGATCAGATCAGGAAATCCAATCCAAGCTTTAATCTGGATCAAATCTTCAAAACGGGTAGTTCAAACCGACAACACAGGTTTGGGATCAATTTGATCCCAAAAAACTGGATTATCCTGATCCCACCAGAGGGGTGGATTTCCAGTGGATTACCAGAGCAACATTTACTGTACAATTTATTTTAAAATATGTTTCAATTTAAATTAGATGGCAACGTTTGTTAACTGAAATAATACACCATGTTTAGCCTTCATGGGAAATACATTTTATTTTCCATTTTTTGCTCACGTTTGTGGTGGCCTATTTTGTTTTAAACCAAATGTTGATGACATAAATGTATATGCTCATAAAAGTATCACAACAAAGATTGTCAATCACAAATGTAATTTAGATTAAATAAAAAATATCTTCAACAAAAAAAGTCCATCAAACCTTTCAAAAGTAATTGCGGACAATAGATGTCTCTACAATGTGGTCTCTTGTCTTCCTTGTATTATTTGTCATGTCCACTAGATGGCGCTCGGTAGGATTAAAGCACTGATATTCAGGATCTAGTCATCTTGAAAAGTCGTAATCTGGATCAGGCTGATCCTGAATTGCTTTGAACTCCAGGGACAACATGTGGCCGACTTGTCTGATCCTGGATCACAAAAAATGGGATTTCAAAATCTGATCTGATTGAGATTAAAAGTTTTGAACTCCTGGGCCCTGGTGAAATGGTTATGTAAATCTGTGTGTCGTCTGCATAGCTATGGTACCTTTACCATTTAGTCAAATCACTTATTTTGTTGAATTCATTTGAGACTCCCTGGCTTGTACCATGTTTCTGTTATATTGTTTTTGCAGGGCAATTGTTGTAAAACCTTTTGGTTCTAAATAACGTTAACAAAAATGTCTGCATGTCACTGAATGACCACAGCATCATCTCTCTGTCATTACCCTTTGTGTTCCTACAGTGGGGGACGAGGAGGTCAGTTCAATAGGCCGAGGACTGTGTGTGCTGCTGGGGATCTCAGTGGAGGACACCCAAAAGGATGCTGACTACTTGTGAGTGTTTTTTTGGGGGGGCTTACACCACAAACAGAACTCTGGACTGGATTTGGAATCACTTTTTAGAGACTTTCACCAGATCAATAGTGGTTGCACTGATAAGTTTGGAATTATAAACAGATAAGTGGTATATCAACTAGGGATCGACCGATATGGCTTTTTCAAGGCCGATACCGATACCGATTATTAGTAATCAAGGAGACCGATATTTGGAACCGATATACATTTGCAGTAAAATCAGAAAATCTTGGTGTCAAAATGTAGAATAACACAAACTCCAACACAACTCAACACAACTTCTTTGAAATGCATTTAAGCATATATTATGTTTAATTAACTTTTAAACATCTTACAACTGGTTTCCTCTCTGTGCCCTTTTCTTTAGTGCAGTCATCTGCAATGAGTTAGAGAGAGACAAGAAGTGGGGCTGCAGGCTGACATGCTTAACTAACAATAATGCTTAATTTATTATATCTGTCTATCTAGCATAAAATCTCAGTAAGCTGCTAGCAACTGCAAAACACTAGTGCTAGCTAATGTTTTGCAAACTATTAAAAGTGAGGCCAGTTTCACCCACTGTCTCTGCCACCTCCCTCCATGCCTGGTTCCTCCGGTTTGTATCCCGTTAATAGTTCTGGTCGGAAAGAACCGGGTGATTTGCTACCGTAATTTCTCGTTTGGAATATGAGGAAATGAACTGCGGTCTGGCTCTCCCTGCTTACACGCGGTTTGATTGGCTAGCGCTTGTACTGGCGGGATTTGCATAAACGGGATTTGATTGGCTGATGCCAGCTTCGAAAGCATCGGGAGCATCAAAAGTTGAACATTGCTCAACTTTTGATGCTCACGATGCTTGCAAAGCCATGCTCCGCTCCCCACAATGCAGTTCGGCGAAGATTCAAAATCTTCTACGTCACCCCATTCAAGTGAATGGGCGAAGCTTTGAAAGATTTTTTTCATGCCTGTGTGTGGACCGGCCGTTACTCCGCTGCGAGACGCTGCACGCACCCCCAACTCTGACTGACTTCCCGCGTCCCTGTGTAACTGGGAAACTGATAGAATTGGATCATAAGATCGTGGTGTTTTTGCAACTTCAGCATAGGGGATAGGGATGTTTATTGAACTTCGGTTTAACACATGGATGGCTCTGCCGCTCAGCGCTGCTGCTTGCTTCAGTCTGTGTCTGCGTTCTTTCGCACCTGCCTGTAATCTGAGAAGGTCCCGCCTCTCTGGCTGGCTCCCGCCCGGAAAATCTTCAGTAATAGCCTATCAGATAGCGCTGTGGGCGGGACATTGCTCGTGTACACAGAGTGGTGACTGCAGCCAGAGAAACGGCCGCATCAGAGCCAAAGTCTTATCGGCAATTTGATAAAAAAAAGGCTGATACCGATAATCGGTCAAATGCGGAATATCGGCCCCTAATATCAACATAGACATCTTTTAGTTGACCAATCACAACAGAGTCATCTAGCTAACCAATCAGAGCAGACTGGGCTCTGGTTTCAGACAGAGGGTGAAAGGAGGTGCTGCAGCACAGGCAGTATGAGAACAATAAAGAGCTTTTTGAACATTAAAGCATGGAGACACGTCACAGCAGAAGCACAAAATATGTGTCCTCTTTAAGGAACTAAAACATAAAAACACAAGCAACGTTTTAAAAATGATTCTTTCAGATAGTTAACATCTAAGTCAAATTCCTAGTTGATTTTCATGTGTTGGCATGTAAAGCAGCCAAAGCCTGCGCACATTTGCGCACAAACGTTGAAACATATTCAGCATTAATAGGATAAAACATGCAAATGTCTAGTGTGACCCCTTCAAAATAAAGCTTATACGTTTCAGATTGACCAGAGCAGGGGTCTGCAACCTTTTTGACCAAAAGAACATTTTTTTGTCTGGAGCCGCAAAACATATTTCATAGCTTGATAGCTAATAAAGTTGTATTTATTGTTATATCAGACAAAAACTACAGTTTTTTAGCATTTATTAGGCTATTTATTACATGATATAAAACTGTTAACCTCTAATAAGAAACAAAGAACTCTTATAAGGAGAATTAAAAATAATACACAGGCCTACTTTCAAATAAATGAAACACAGCACTTGGGGAGTCCTCTGCACATTTGAAGGAAAACAAATATTATTCAAATGGGCCCACTTTGAAATAAATAAAACATATAGCTGCACCCTAAAAAGAGTTAAAGGTAGGGTAGGTAAGAATGGAGAAACCAGCTCGAGTGCGCTAGAATTTGAAAATACACACCCGGAAAATATCTGCCTCTTCCTTCAGACTTCCTTACAGAGTCCCTCCTCCAACACACACGAACGCGCACATGACCAATGAGGGCACGAGATAAGCTTGTGCACAGATGGAAGGCTGACAGGCAGGTAGGCCATCCAGTTACTTTAGCCGGGCCGGCTCAGATGATTGGTCGTGCTTTTTATAGTGCTACGGCTTCCAGAGATTCATTTTTGTATGTATTTATTGTCAAAGCATTTAATATATTCATTGCTATCGGGACGTTAAGAGCATTCCATGGAATATAACAAAAAGTGTTTTCTGAAATAAATGACATACCCCATTGAATTATGTCTGAAGATCGTCAGCTGTCTTCCTCTCCCGTGTTGTTCCTCGATACGTAAAGGCTGCAGCACTGTTGACAACTTCTCTCTACATATCAAACATACCGGTAAACCAGCATCGTTTGCTGTGAAAGCAGATAACTCTGTCCACGCATAATTAAATCCTGTGTTCCTCTGGTACTTTTCTTTTCTTTGATTTATCCATAGTTCGCTCATTGAGCCGGGGGTCAGGTTATTCAAGAAAAGGTGCTTGCGCGGGACCGTAGCAGGATGTGACGCATATTTTAGTTGACCTAATTAAAACCGTTTAGTTTTTTATTTATGTGTCACAGTATCACCTCAAAATACAAGATACGAAACATTTTCAACCATGCAACAAAATATAAATAGTCCTACAAATACTTTTATTTTATTTTCTTCTTATTTTTGTCTGAGCTCAAGGGAGCCAGAGCAGAGGGCTTAAAGGGCCGCGGGTTGCCGACCCCTGGACCAGAGGGATGTTGAGTATTACATACAGGTTGGTTTCTCGCTTATTCTCTTGTGTGTTTTCAGAGTACGCAAGATCCTGAACCTGCGGCTGTTTGAAGACGAGAACGGGCGAACGTGGAGCAAAAGCGTCATGGACCGGGACTTTGAGGTGCTCTGTGTGAGCCAGTTCACACTGCAGTGTGTCCTGAAGGGCAACAAGCCAGACTTCCACGCAGCCATGCCTGCAGAGCTGGCCCAGCCCTTCTACAACAGCATCCTGGAGAACATGAGGAGCAGCTACAAGCCCGAGCTCATTAAGGGTGGGTGAAGTGATGACTCAGCCATTTATACTCCTACGTTTTTTTTTTCTTCTAAAGATTTTTTGGAATCAGTTAAATAATTTCCCCAATCCCCATTGTCGCAGTTTTTCCTAACATTTAATGTTATCCCTTTGTCAGATATTGAGTAGTTGATAGCCATTGTTTATTTCATGACATTATGAGGGATTAAGTATAGCCCAATAGTCAACCTATTTTTATTTTATAATTGTTTTTATTAATTGAAAAAGATAGCTTTTTTTAAGAGGTTCCAATCTTTTTATGTCATTTATAAATATGTTTCTATCGACAATTTTTTGTTCAATAGATTTGCAGTGTCGACAGACATCAGTAACATATTTGTCCTATTGTCGCAGTTTTTCGTTACATTTAATGTCAGCCATGGGTCTGATTTTGAGAAGCTGATGGTCGTGTTTTTTACATGACATTACGATGATGGATTTTGTTAAAAAAAAATGTATACAGTGTTTGTCAAAAGTAGGACGTTGAATTGCATTTTCCAGCTACTGGTCTTTAAGCTTATTAAAAACAGAATTGTTGCGGGTTACCAAAAATAAGTTAAATAATTAACCTATTGTGTCTTTTTTTAAACTAATGTCAGATATTGAGTTTCTTATAGCCATTGTTTATTGACATTACAATTAGTGGTGCACGATAATTATCGGTCCGATATTAGGAATTATGACGTCATCCCGATAAACCCGATAACAGTATTAATAGCCCCGATAATATACAATTTATTTTTTGGGTAAGAAAAAAATACTGCGGTGTGGGTGGATTGGGATGAGGGGCGCTTGTTTTTCACTCGGCTCCTCCCGTTTTGCCAGTACTGTGGTATTAGTGGTTTAGGAAGAGGGGAGTTCTTCACAAATCCAGCGCTCCCTAACTCATGCCTGGCTGTGACGTAAATGGTGTGCGGCCGTGAAGCCAGGACAGTAAACTAACATGTCGCCGGTGGTATGGGACTATTTCAAAGTTTCAGAGTTAGATAGTTCGCTTGCTATTTGTATTAACAAATGCAGAAGTTCCACGAGGAGGGAATAAGGCAACGAGCTATAATACTTCCAACCTGATTAGTCACCTGAAACATCGCCATCGCTACGATGGTGTGTTAAAAACGTATGAAGACGCCTGCGCTGCTAAACTAGCGGCGAATACAAAGCCAGCTGCAAAGGCACCGGGGCTTTTACCTATCGACGAGGCTTTTGAAAAAGGCTTTGAAGAGTCAAAACTGTTCTTGGCTTTGTTTTGTTCATAGTAGTAATGCTCATGTCATTTGCTCACTACTAGTCTTTTTTTTACCACCAGGTGTGCAAAAACTACTGGTACATTTATATATATATTATATTATTATCGGTTATCGGTATCGGTCTTGAGAAGCAGGAAGTTATCGGTATCGGTATCGGTTTCAAAAAAACAATATGGTGCATCCCTAATTACAATGTATTATGTGTCAGCAGAGTTGAAAAAGTAAGAATAGTTACGGTTGCTGTGAAATGTGTGGGGGTTCAGAACGAGAGGACGGTTTTCAGGAGGTTGGAGGACAAACTGGCTAAAGAAAAACTCCAGCTGCTTGTTTTGAGCTTATTAAAAACAAAAGTGTTGAGGGTCACCCTTATCCCCACTCACTTAGACGTTTGAGTCCGCGCCCTGTCCCCCTCATTTTTAATTGCCTTTATTCCCCCCTTTTTTGCTGTGGATTATCGGTGCTGTGACGCCTCTCTTGTGAACTGGGTCAGCCCACCGGGGAGCAGGTGCGGAGAACACCTCGTCCTAGCAAGGGAGGCATAAGGCTTCCTAATTAGTCCCCCCCTCCAGAGAGGAAATATGATGATGCAGCACTTTTTGGCCCACGGCTTTGTGGTGCAGAGGGTGTCATTAATCTCACGGACCCAGTGGAAGAGAAGAGAAGAGGTTGAACTTCCTGACCTCCTACAGCCGCTTTTGTCCCCAACGTCTCAAGGCTCTATGTTATCCTACATCCTTATGGAACATTTACTGCCAACGCAAAACAAACTCCGCTTCTACCTTTAAATATTAGCATGTGGTGTCATTTGAGATGTTTCAAGAGGACATATTAGGCTCCTCTCCAGGTTCATATTTGTATTTAGTGTCTCTACTGTGACATGTCTCCATACTTGAATATTCAAAAAACTCTTTATTTTTCTCATACTGCCTGTGCTCCAGCACCTCTTTTCACCCTCCGTCTGAAACCAGAGCTCAGTCTACTCTGATTGGTTAGCTGGCCGGCTCTGTTGTGATTGGCCAACTGCTTAGAGATGTGCCTGAACTGCTCCTTGGCCTTTCACATACAATGTGTTGGAGGGCTAGCCAACAGAAGCGCTATGTCACGGATGTAAACAAAGAGGTCCAATGGAGGCGTTTCAGGCAGGGGGAACTTTGGGAACCCCAAAAAGCCTGATAGGGCCTCTTTAATAAGCTAACTGTGGCGCTGATGCTAATCAGTGAAACTTGAGTGGATCTTATGGTTTGACTTTTAATTGCAAGAGGAGTATACTACAAAGCAAGATCCCCAGAGCCAGGGTTTATTTGCTTTATCAACATAATCTGAAACGCTATTCAGAGATAACAGTTACCATAAAGTTGGGAATCAAACGTCTTTGTTTCTCCAGGCTGTTGTTCTCAGGCTCCCATACAAGAGTGCATTTGTTGCATAATTTGACTCTTCTTCCGCACAAATAAGTCTCCTTCTTTCAGGCTCTGTGTTTCTTTCTGTGTTTCCAGATGGGACGTTTGGGGGATACATGCAGGTCCACATTCAAAACGACGGACCTGTTACCATAGAACTGAGGTCCCCCACTGGCCCATCGGACCTCAAACAGGTAACTTAGTGAGCATATTTTCAGCAACATGTTCATTGATTTTGCAACGTTATAAACTTAACACAAAAAGTTAGGAAATGTGTGTTTGGTAGATGATTTCTTTGTTGTATCAATGTTTCTTGGCAATACATCTTATTCTGTTGGAAAGCCTGTTTTCTTACCTTTCAAATGGTGCCTCATTTGTGACGAACATGCATTTGTGGGAGGAGCAGTATAGCTGAGTATGTGGGTTGCTCAAATCTCCTGTCAATCCACTTTTCAGTACTCATATTTTACCACTAGGTGGCGATATTTACTTTGTGTGCAGTACTGCTTGCTTCTCATGTTACACTTGGAGCAGTTTTTTGTAATGATATTAATGATTTGGATATGAAATAGAGAGGCGAAGTCCCGCCCATCTACTTCCGACCCATGGGACCTTATTTCGGAAAAATCATGTATTGAAGTCAATGGAGAGAGAAAGATTATCTTTCGATCCCGTTTGAATTGTGCCACGAATTACACATTATGTTTGTCAATCTTAACAAATCATTTCCATGTCAAAAAAGTTACAGTTTGTCGTAAAACTGTTGAAATATAAGACTATGAGAAATACGCAACTAGAAAGACTACAAATCCCAGAATCCCGGTCCCGCATGCTGGCTCTTACGGAACCGACTAACTCCCCTTGTGTGTGTGTACAGTTCTCAACATGCCCAGACTTGTAGTGATTTTCACCTCTTTTAATACTTTTCGCCTCATTCTGAAAGAAAGAGGTGAGATGTTTCAACGTGACGGGCGTCTTGGTGTTGGTGCGAGACGGGAGATGTAGTTCATTGAGCGGTTTCACACAAAAAAAAGTGTTACTTCAGTTTTATTTTTTTGACTTGCAAAATGATCTTTTAAATTGACAAACATCATATGTGTAATTCGTGGAACAATTCAAACGGGATCGAAAGATAATCTTTCTCTCTCCATTGACTTCAATACATGATTTTTCCGAAATAAGGTCCCATGGCGGTCCACCGGGAAGGGGAGGGACTTCTTCTCTCTGTATTGAACCTGCAAAGATGTTTGGTTGTGAAATTCTGTTTCATTGTCCACCTCAACAGACTTTTTAAAAGAATACTTAAAATATATTTATACAGGTAATATACACATTTTGAATATCATGGTATGGTTTTTAAAAGTAGAAATACCAAGACAGTGAACGTTTTTGAATATAAACAACAAAAGACATGTATGCAAAGTTATTTGATTATTAAAAAGGTGCATATACCACTCTTCTGCTATTACTTATCTTAAAAATCATAAAGGATACCAAACACAATAAAGCCCTTAGGTATTTTGACATGATGGTCCTGTAGTAAACACTAGTTATACAACAAGATAAATGAACATAATAACAAGACAGCAAGGAGGAATACAATCAACATTCGAAATACAAATAGCAGAATCTTCCACAACGTTTGTGCCCAAACTCCCAGAGCTTTTAAACTCAACAGACACACTGACAGTGAGCCCCAGGGTGGATATCAACTTCTTCATATTTGAATGTTCCTCCACTGTCAAACTCTACATGTCATTTTGCTCTCTGAATAAATGATGCTAAGCTGAATCTTCAAATATATCCTGGCATCAGAGCCCTCTTTATTATTCAAGTCAAGCAGAGTAATAGATCTTTATCACAGAAGACATTTTCAGTTTGAGTCAGAACTAATAACATATACGACCTCTTTGTAACAGAAATTGAGTGCCAAGTCAAATTAAATGTTAAAAGGATGAATTAAACTGGAGATTCACTGCAATATATTGGTGCAGGAATGAGCCCCAAAAGCCGGAAATGAGTTGGCTCTGTACCTCTGTAGTCAATTTTCAATCTCTGCTTGATGCTCCGGGCTATTTTAGCTGCTACTAGCATAATGCAGATTCTGACACAATCTCAGCTATCGATACAGTGGTGCAGCCCTGAAACCCAGAAATGAATGAGCATTTGACCTCTTCTGGTTTCCTTGTCTCGAAGTCAACATTTTTCGAATGGGTTTTTGGTAAGATGCCTGGACTATATAGATATTTAAGTTTTATTCTAGGACATAAGATACATCACTTGAAGTTCCTCAGCTTGTGTCATCAAAACGGCGATTGTTAACAAGTGCCTAAATGAGACTACCAAACGTCATCTAGACAAACCTAAGCCACCTTTAGCTTAGCGATGCAGCCATGCAAGCCCTGATGTAGTTTGTTAATAGCCCAACGTTAGATTTTTACTTTTGGAAATTGCATTTAAGCTTTAAAACACATAAAAGTGTTGTAAATATGTGACGAATCATGTAAGAATTATAAACACGTGTTTGCCACAGATCTTATTTTCTGCAATATTCCAAAATCCACCTGAAAAGTCACATTTTTGTCAAGGGAACCAAGGGAGATGCCTACACCAATACATCATTGCCGCAACACTCTATTGTGCATGGTGTGAATAACACTAGATTTTTAGCTAATATAATTGTTTTTCTTGCAGATAACTATATAGGTATAGTCATTGTAATATGTTTATTATTTAAATAGTTGTTTCCCTTTCCTACTGTGTTCTATAGGTTTTTGTGCATGTAAATGGTCTGCAAAGACTAATATCCCTGTGTTCCCTCCAGAGGGAGTTTCTCTCCCACACTGCCTGAAACGCCTCCATTGGACTCCTTTGTTTATTTCCGTATAATAATGACATCACCATGTAACACTCGTGCCTGTATTGGCTAGCGTACACATTGTACATTATATGCTGAGGGGCAGGACATTTTCGACACATCTTTAAGCGGTTGATCAATCACAACAGAGCCGGCCAGCTAACCAATCAGAGCAGACTGGGCTCTGGTTTCAGACAGAGGGTGAAAAGAGGTGCTGCAGCACAGGCAGTATGAGAACAATAAAGAGCTTTTTGAACATTAAAGCATGGAGACATGTAGAGACACTACATACTGATATACACCTGAACATCAGCAGGAGAGGACTCTTTAAAGTAGAGACACTACATAATGATATACACCTGAACATCAGCAGGAGAGGACTCTTTAAAGTAGAGACACTACATACTGATATACACCTGAACATCAGCAGGAGAGGACTCTTTAAAGTAGAGACACTACATACTGATATACACCTGAACATCAGCAGGAGAGGACTCTTTAAAGTAGAGACACTACATACTGATATACACCTGAACATCAGCAGGAGAGGACTCTTTAAAGTAGAGACACTACATACTGATATACACCTGAACATCAGCAGGAGAGGACTCTTTAAAGTAGAGACACTACATACTGATATACACCTGAACATCAGCAGGAGAGGACTCTTTAAAGTAGAGACACTACATACTGATATACACCTGAACATTCAGCAGGAGAGGACTCTTTAAAGTAGAGACACTACATACTGATATAACACCTGAACATCAGCAGGAGAGGACTCTTTAAAGTAGAGACACTACATACTGATATACACCTGAACATCAGCAGGAGAGGACTCTTTAAAGTAGAGACACTACATACTGATATACACCTGAACATCAGCAGTAGAGGACTCTTTAAAGTAGAGACACTACATACTGATATACACCTGAACATCAGCAGGAGAGGACTCTTTAAAGTAGAGACACTACATACTGATATACACCTGAACATCAGCAGGAGAGGACTCTTTAAAGTAGAGACACTACATACTGATATACACCTGAACATCAGCAGGAGAGGACTCTTTAAAGTAGAGACATACATACTGATATACACCTGAACATCAGCAGGAGAGGACTCTTTAAAGTAGAGACACTACATACTGATATACACCTGAACATTAGCAGGAGAGGACTCTTTAAAGTAGAGACACACACCTGAACATCAGCAGGAGAGGACTCTTTAAAGTAGAGACACTACATACTTATATACACCTGAACATCAGCAGGAGAGGACTCTTTAAAGTAGAGACCTACATACTGATATACACCTGAACATCAGCAGGAGAGGACTCTTTAAAGTAGAGACACTACATACTGATATACACCTGAACATCAGCAGGAGAGGACTCTTTAAAGTAGAGACACTACATACTGATATACACCTGAACATTAGCAGGAGAGGACTCTTTAAAGTAGAGACACTACATACTGATATACACCTGAACATCAGCAGGAGAGGACTCTTTAAAGTAGAGACACTACATACTGATATACACCTGAACATCAGCAGGAGAGGACTCTTTAAAGTAGAGACACTACATACTGATATACACCTGAACATCAGCAGGAGAGGACTCTTTAAAGTAGAGACACTACATACTGATATACACCTGAACATCAGCAGGAGAGGACTCTTTAAAGTAGAGACACTACATACTGATATACACCTGAACATCAGCAGGAGAGGACTCTTTAAAGTAGAGACACTACATACTGATATACACCTGAACATCAGCAGGAGAGGACTCTTTAAAGTAGAGACAATACATACTGATATACACCTGAACGTCAGCAGGAGAGGACTCTTTAAAGTAGAGACACTACATACTGATATACACCTGAACATCAGCAGGAGAGGACTCTTTAAAGTAGAGACACTACATACTGATATACACCTGAACATCAGCAGGAGAGGACTCTTTAAAGTAGAGACACTACATACTGATATACACCTGAACATCAGCAGGAGAGGACTCTTTAAAGTAGAGACACTACATACTGATATGCACCTGAACATCAGCAGGAGAGGACTCTTTAAAGTAGAGACACTACATACTGATATACACCTGAACATCAGCAGGAGAGGACTCTTTAAAGTAGAGACACTACATACTGATATACACCTGAACATCAGCAGGAGAGGACTCTTTAAAGTAGAGACACTACATACTGATATACACCTGAACATCAGCAGGAGAGGACTCTTAAAGTAGAGACACTACATACTGATATACACCTGAACATCAGCAGGAGAGGACTCTTTAAAGTAGAGACACTACATACTGATATACACCTGAACATCAGCAGGAGAGGACTCTTTAAAGTAGAGACACTACATACTGATATACACCTGAACATCAGCAGGAGAGGACTCTTTAAAGTAGAGACACTACACCTGAACATCAGCAGGAGAGGACTCTTTAAAGTAGAGACAATACATACTGATATACACCTGAACGTCAGCAGGAGAGGACTCTTTAAAGTAGAGACACTACATACTGATATACACCTGAACATCAGCAGGAGAGGACTCTTTAAAGTAGAGACACTACATACTTATATACACCTGAACATCAGCAGGAGAGGACTCTTTAAAGTAGAGACACAACATTACTGATATACACCTGAACATCAGCAGGAGAGGACTCTTTAAAGTAGAGACACTACATACTGATATACACCTGAACATCAGCAGGAGAGGACTCTTTAAAGTAGAGACACTACATACTGATATACACCCCCGAACATTAGCAGGAGAGGACTCTTTAAAGTAGAGACACTACATACTGATATACACCTGAACATCAGCAGGAGAGGACTCTTAAAGTAGAGACACTACATACTGATATACACCTGAACATCAGCAGGAGAGGACTCTTTAAAGTAGAGACAACTACATACTGATATACACCTGAACATCAGCAGGAGAGGACTCTTTAAAGTAGAGACACTACATACTGATATACACCTGAACATCAGCAGGAGAGGACTCTTTAAAGTAGAGACACTACATACTGATATACACCTGAACATCAGCAGGAGAGGACTCTTTAAAGTAGAGACACCAACATACTGATATACACCTGAACATCAGCAGGAGAGGACTCTTTAAGTAGAGACAATACATACTGATATACACCTGAACGTCAGCAGGAGAGGACTCTTTAAAGTAGAGACACTACATACTGATATACACCTGAACATCAGCAGGAGAGGACTCTTTAAAGTAGAGACACTACATACTGATATACACCTGAACATCAGCAGGAGAGGACTCTTTAAAGTAGAGACACTACATACTGATATACACCTGAACATCAGCAGGAGAGGACTCTTTAAAGTAGAGACACTACATACTGATATGCACCTGAACATCAGCAGGAGAGGACTCTTTAAAGTAGAGACACTACATACTGATATACACCTGAACATCAGCAGGAGAGGACTCTTTAAAGTAGAGACACTACATACTGATATACACCTGAACATCAGCAGGAGAGGACTCTTTAAAGTAGAGACACTACATACTGATATACACCTGAACATCAGCAGAGAGGACTCTTTAAAGTAGAGACACTACTACTGATATACACCTGAACATCAGCAGGAGAGGACTCTTTAAAGTAGAGACACTACATACTGATATACACCTGAACATCAGCAGGAGAGGACTCTTTAAAGTAGAGACACTACATACTGATCTACACCTGAACATCAGCAGGAGAGGACTCTTTAAAGTAGAGACACTACATACTGATATACACCTGAACATCAGCAGGAGAGACTCTTTAAAGTAGAGACAACTACATACTGATATCACCTGAACATCAGCAGGAGAGGACTCTTTAAAAGTAGAGACACTACATACTGATATACACCTGAACATCAGCAGGAGAGGACTCTTTAAAGTAGAGACACTACATACTGATATACACCTGAACATCAGCAGGAGAGGACTCTTTAAAGTAGAGACACTACATACTGATATACACCTGAACATCAGCAGGAGAGGACTCTTTAAAGTAGAGACACTACGTACTGATATACACCTGAACATCAGCAGGAGAGGACTCTTTAAAGTAGAGACACTACATACTGATATACACCTGAACATCAGCAGGAGAGGACTCTTTAAAGTAGAGACACTACATACTGATATACACCTGAAACTGAGCAAAATATGCCCTCTTAAATAAATGAAATCTACACCAATGTTTACTTTCACCTCTAGATACATTATCTCTTTAATTAAACTACCAACACCAGCCTCGTATAAAAACAAATTCTGATGTCTGTGCCCCTGAAAGACTGTCTCTTGCGTGGACCGTGGCCAGCGTCCTTCTGCTCTGGCCACAGGCCGGGCGTTGGCTGCTCTCCCCGTGGTGTACTTGGCTCTCTAGCCCAAAGGGAGGGATATTAAGCAGTCCTCAGAATTGTAATCTTGTCTGTTTGGGATGTTTTACTGTGGGGGCTGAGGAGCCAAGGCCAAAGATGAGGGATAAAAGGCCAGCCAATAGGCTAAGCTTGGCACGAGGGGGAAATGAAGCAATGGGCTAACAGACACTGTTCCTTTCTTTCCATGAATCAGGGATTTAGTCCACTCCAGGGTCAAGCGGCCAGCAAACAATGGTGTTATCCAGAGCAATGAAAATCATCCTGTTGGGATGCTCTCTGTGGGTCAATAGCAGAAGGGTCTTTATGGAGGTTGTTGTGCATTTGTTTAGGACTCTAGGCTGAAGCCGAACTCTGGAATGATGTAATGTGCAATCATGTTTTGCTATTTCTTTATCAAAGCGGGATTCTAGTTCTGCTTGACTGTAGCTTTTCCATTAGAGTTGAAATGTTGATTTATGGCAAAAAGAGGAACTTGTGTTTGTTCAGTGTTATATCATCAACAGTTGCCATGTTAATGAGTTCAAATGGGAATAGAACAGATTTTTCTTTGTCCTCTTTAAATAATGTAATGTCTTACGCAATGCTTTGGATTTTAAGATGACATTTAGTTCATAAATATTTCCCGGGCAGCCATTAAAGTTTCAGCATCTGTGTTTACAGATGGCGGCTAGCATTCCTACTTCATCATCGCTGTTGTGCTGTTTCATGGAGCGTGAAGAATACAAAGAAAATAGTTTGATTCGAGTAGTGACTGGAGAGGCACTGGGAAGGCTTTATTTTTTAGCGCAGGCAGTCACAACAAAAGACTCATTGAAGTGATCATTGGATGGCCAATAATAGCTTGTAATGAGGACAGAATAGAAGCGTTTCATCAACAAAGAGAAGTCAGATGTGGAGTGTCGGTCTGTGCGTTGACGTGTGTCTCCTCCTTTGTTTCATATTTCTAAATGCATGTCAGAGCCTCTCTGTGAAAAGTGAACACGCTGAAATGTCATGATCTGCAATTCATGATGCAGCATGTTCAGGGTGTGTGCCTCCAACCAGTAACCCCCCCCCAGGAGCCCAATATTGATTTAAAAGGACCATTCAGTCAAAGGGTACATATAGAAAATACAACAATTGCACACTAAATGTTAGCCTTTGCAGACCATCTACATGCACAGAACACCTATAGAACTCTCTACAGCAAAGGAACACCCCAGAAAGCATAAAGGGTTTCAAGGCAGAATCCACACATTTGCATTCATTAATCATTTATGCTATATAAATGTCTCCATCTGTCGTCATCTCCCTTGAAGTGGTTGTACATGTTAATGCCACATTGTTCTGTTGGATCAAGTTTTTTTTTTCTGAAGCAAGCCTTCCTTTGTGTCCTCAGCTTTCAAAGCAGGAGAAGCAGCAGCAGCGGAAAGAGAAGACGCGCTCCAAGGGCCCCTCAGAGTGCAGGGAAAGAGGAGCGGGGCGGTCCCGACCGGACCCCAACGCCAGCAGTGGAGCCGATGGAGATGTGTCGTCAGAGAGGGAGCCTTAGGTCAGCAGGGTGAGGAAGACTCTCATAAACACATGCAGTCACACATGCTCATACACACACAGGGTGTCTGCAGGTCCTTGAACATCATGTTGTGTTCTTGTGGGTATTCCAATTTACCGTGCAGTAAAAGCGTTTTATTGTCTTAAGCTATTTCATTTGAAAATATATAAGGTAAATATAAAAAAACGTTGCCTGTAGCGTGCATTTGTGTGAAATTCCACCAAAAAACAACATTTATCTTTAAGAAATCTGTAATACAAAGAGAAATGAAAGATAAAAGTCAAAAGATAAAAGTCCCTTAAATTAACTGAAATTTGCCAAAACCCTGACAAAGACAAAATACACTTTATTGAGAAATCTAAAGTTGTTTTCAAGAGATTTTACACTGTTATAAAATAGTGTTAAAAAAAAGTTGCAAAGGGAAGGAACACCTCCGGTAGATTTCCAGGAGATTTTCTTTTAAACTTGGTGGCGTGTTTTGGTTAAAAGTATGCCCATATAACCATTTCATTCAACTGTAACCACATGTGCAGATCATCTGTGAGGATCACATTAAATAGGAATCCAGCCTCTACGTGCACAGTGCGTAGTCCCATAACATGTGCAGCACACTGCTGCCAACACTACTGCACTGTGAGACAAATGACTATGCTACAAGAAAAGAGTATTATATATTGAGTATACTACTGGAGATGAACATATATATATTTGTTATGGTATTTCAATGTACCATCAGATGGTTTTCTTCGGCAAAGTACATTTTAAGTAGTGAACTCTTTTGCTAGTTTTTGCTTGCTAGCTGTTACCATGTGGCATGTAGCTTGATTGAGGCTAATTGAGACGTTTAAATTCAACCATTTCCATTCATTTGCTGTTGTAAAACATTCATTTTATTTGTCTTTCATTTAAAACTGGGCTGTTATCGGTTTGAATTTTGCTAGCTAGCTAACTCACCATGTAGGACATTTCACATTGTTCGTTTGGACAAGATATTGGATTATATGTGCTTATTATATGGGATCTGTATTTGGTATATATTGACATTTGAATCCTTTTATTTCTTATTCATTCCCATTAAAGGTTTCACCTTTAATATTCCCGGACATTTGTAACACTTCTACAATTTATCATATTAGTTTAACTTGTCATGTACAATATGGCAGTTCTTAATGTGCAGTGAGAGGGGAACACAATGACCTCCAGATCTCTGTTTATGCTCATTATATCACAGCTAAGGGGCGTGGTTCGGCCCGACGCATGAAGTGAGCTATTGCTTTTATGAAACGGTTACCAAGTGTGGCAATATGAAAGAAAAATACACACTCTAATTTAAATAGTTTTTATTAGTAAATAATGATGTTCAAAATAAAATAGTCCCTCCGTTGCCTTCTGCACAAAACATAGTGCGTGGTGGTTGCTATGCAACAACACTAACAGCTAGCGAACATATTAGACAGAGAGCGTTGATCCATTATTTGGCTATTTATTTACATTCATTTGTATGTTGCCGTTTATTGTGCAGCCACTGAAAACCTGTCCAGCATCAGTAGCATGGCTTACGAGGTTACTTGTATAGGTTGAGGTTGTTCTGGCTGTTGCTTGGCGAGAATATTGCTCCACTTTCTCCGGTCCCCGAGATTCGGCTTCCAGTAGCTCTGGAGAAAGCTTTCGCACCTGTTGCCACTAACGGTTTGTTTCAAGACCCGCATCAGAAAGCTTTTAAATGGTGGTACTTCTCCAGTTGGTCTACCTGCTCTTCACGTAGCTCTGCATGTCGTCGTTTAGGTGCTTTCTGGAGATAGGCACTGCTCAATCCACTCCTCCACAGTAAGGCCACCCCAGAGGTCGAAGTTAACCTTAAATGTTTCCATCTTAAGCTTTGTAAGTTTGTTTCGTAACAGATGAAATGTAATAATATTTATAAAACTGACAAGTCAAATCAAGCAATCTGATTGGTCGATAGCGTTTTTGCGGACCTTTTTTATTACAGATTTGAAAACATCGCTGCTTGCTTTAAAAGTAGCACAATTCATGATGTCAAACCTTGGAAAGTATCTAGATATGCCCTAATGCCAAAGGAACTGCACACTGAATATGTTTTGCCGTTTGATGTCTATGTCTGGACCGTTGCGTAAAAAGGAGGGTTTCTGCCCCGTTACTTCTCCGCTGTTTTCTTGTCCCAGATTGAAAAGCAAACTTGCTTTTCAGCCCAACTGTATACAGTTTTTAGGGAAGATATTTTTTTTAAATATTGAAGTTAAAAGCATCAATCTGGTGCACTTTGAGAGCAACATTAGGAGATCTATGGATACCTCTCTCAGACATCCAGATGAAACAGAACCTGTAAACAGATGTTCTTTTTCTTTATGGATATTTTACAAATCACTCCCCTTTCAAACTGTATTCTTGTTTTACTGCCATATAGT